ATCTGGCATCTCTATGGGGTGGTGGGGTGGGGGGGGAGAAAAGAATAAAGTCCTAGATGTGGGCTTCAAGATAACACTGATAAATTTGGGGAAAATTCCAATATTTCTTTGATCCAAATTGAGCACATAATCTTAGGTATGACAATACTTAGGCATACCGGAAGATATCTTAGAAATCCTAATATCCTTTGCATTCATTTTGGTAAGGAAGATGGCCTGTCCAGAAATCCCAGGCCAGTTAGTGAGAGAATCAGGATTAGAATTTGGATCTCCAGAGACAGGGCCACTAGCCTAACCAAATCTCCTCCACAACATTCTTAAGAAAGATATACATAAATTTTTTTGTTAGGGTTGGGTCTCTGGAGGTCAATCATGCTATATTCTTGTTAATATTAAAATAAACAAACAAACCTGTGCTGTTGAGCTGATGGTAAAACTGGGCATCTTTAGTTCTGATTTCCTGTTTAACTCCCAATTAATTACAGAAAAGCAAAACAATAACTAAGAGCTGGAAGGGGAAATAGTTTTACGTATTTGCAACATATTTAAGATGTTTTATGTAAATAATTGACATTGCAGATGAGATAAGAAAATGAGTAGAAAATGAGATAATTATTTTCAAAACAGAGCCATGTGAGGGATAAAACACAAGTCAGTTGCCAAAGGACTAATTGAGTTGCTGACCAAACTAAATACGCTGGATGCCTCATGCAATGCTTTGTGTAAATGAAAAATTTTGAAAGGTTTTCTGCCAGTCTAAAGAATCTCTTTTTATTCAAAAAGAGTTTCCACCAAAAATGTCAACTCTGTTCACAAAAAGATGAATTATGTTTTTGATACACTTACCTTTGGGTATACCAGCTAAAGAAATTTGAATGTTTTTGCTCAAAAGAACCTTCTGTGGTCTGTTCAGTGTATGCTCTTCCTGGCTTTACCTTGACACACTTAATATGTGAGGCTGTATTTGGATCCATATTGTCAATATAACAAAGAACTGTTTTCATACATCACATATTTGTTCGTGGGTAGAATTTTTTTTTTTTTCTTTTTTTGCGGTACACGGGCCTCTCACTGCTGTGGCCTCTCCCGCTGCAGAGCACAGGCTCCGGACGCGCAGGCCCAGCGGCCATGGCTCACGGGCCCAGCCGCTCCGCGGCATGTGGGATCTTCCCGGACCGGGGCACGAACCCGCGTCCCCTGCATCGGCAGGCGGACTCTCAACCGCTGCGCCACCAGGGAAGCCCTGGGTAGAATTTTTAAAACAGTTTTTACCATGTTTTTGCTCAATTATTCTTAGAAGCAAGGAACTAAGCAGTAGTTAGGAATCTTATGGACCTAACTGTAAGAGTATTGACTAGTTGTGAAATCTACTACCAACATTCTTTTAAACATTGCCCTCTAATTTTTGTTTTCTAATTTAAATTTTCATTGCCCTCTAATTTTGTTCTTGTTTTGTTTCTAATTTTTGTTTTATAAAAATTCTACTTTTATAAAAGTAGAAATGCCTCTAGGTTTTCTGGTACTTCTAAAGATAAACCCTTGGCTGGGACACATTAGGGTCTTAATTAGCCCAAGTTCCTCCATAGGGGGCTCTGTTCTTGGGGACTTCAGAGTTTTCCCTGGATTAGCTTAAGTTATTGCCTTTTCTTTAAAAAATGTCTCTGCATCTTGTTACCTTGAACACAAACATAGTTGATAATATTTTACAGGACTTATTTGATCAAAAACTAATTTACCAAACCGTCTGAGTTCTTCTGAGCCTTCCAGCTTGCACAGTTCTTTTCTTGTTTTCAACAGTTACCTAGAGATTCTACCCTACTCTCTTGAAGGATTACACAGCTGTTGTTGATACAACTGTTTTTTATCACCAGCCTCAAATTTGCTCAATTCTTCTTGCCAACATTTAATCAGCTGTCATTCACAAGGGCAAAAACCACCATGTGCTATGATCACAATGTATCATTAGCTTTGAACTCTAATTTGGAAATACTTTCTTATATATTAACACCTTGCCTCTAGAATTGCCTTAGGAACTGTAGAGGAGCAAAGATACTAGTTATGGTGTATAGGAATTCAATTTTTCCAGTCAACCTTCATTTCATGAATGGCTTAGAATGATTTTCAAGGGTCTCTCATGCAAGAGAATGGAGTTGAGGTGCACCAGATAGTACCATCTTGATTTGTTGTAACATCTTTAACTTTCACATTCAAACGCAGAAAAGAAATTCTGTCTCAAAAGAAAGCCCCAAGAACTTGGATAAAAACAAGAAAATTACAAGGAGTAAAGAGAAAAGAAGTGGGACTAAGTACCTTTGAGTACCTACTATGTGCTAGGCACTGTTTGTGCCCCCATCTCACTATTGTGCACAACTTAGTGAGGGGAGTTTCATTCTCCTCATTATGCAGACGAGGATAGCTGAGAGGGATTGTCTAAAGTCGTCCCACTAGTAAGAGTTAAAACCCAGATTCCATTCTATTGGGCTCAAAAAAAAAAAAGGTGAGCCTCTTTCACTAAACCATGCTGCTGTGATTCTTTGATTCTTCTCCTCTTCCTTCTCTTCTTCTTCTCCTCCCCCTCCTTCTTCTCCTCTTTCTATTTCTTCTGTAAGTAGGACAGACAACTCAGGTGGGCTCAGCTAAAATCCCTTGGTATAGAGTCACACCTCTTTGGTCTCTCTCTTGCATGTTGTACAGACAGGAAATAGAGGCTGCGCCCCTCTCTGTTAAACAACTGAAGTGTAGGCTTAAGGATAGTTATCCTCATACACTTCGCAGTGGTCTATCTCCTTGACTTCATGCAGGACATATTCCTTTCCATTTCCTAGAACAAGTATGAGAGGGAGAAGTGGACATAGAGAGATTGCTTCTCTGTGAATGATATTACCAACTCTTTGTTCCCCCAACCATTAATCAAAGCTGACAAATTGCTCAATTTGAACAGAGGTGGAAAGTGAAAAACTGGAGTCCTTTAATTTAAAACAAAAACCAAGTCGTGTAGCTTTCATTCCAATGTGTAGATTGTCACCATAATGCTTTTACAACAACCTTTGCATAAGTTTACTCAACAATTGCTACAAGCCAAGATGCCTTGAAATGAGAAAAGGAACACTAACCACAGTTAATGTACAAAAATATTTATTTTTGGCAAATAGCCATTCCATGGTCAGGTTTGAATAAGCCATGTAATGTATTATCTACTCCTGATGAGGTTTAATGGGTGGAATTTCAGGTGTTGGTGGTGTCCGTGCCTAAAAGAAAGGAAAAAAATACCACCTCACTAAGATTTAATGCCTCTGTTTTCAACCTAATGGGTCAACTAATAGTTATCACTACAGTTAGGGTCTCTTTTCAAGTTTATGTGAATCTTTGCTTTGCAAAAACACAAAAATCTCATTTTCCAGCAAATAGAGCAACTTCTAATATGCTGAGTTTCTAATGACGACAGTTGCCATCAAATAAGTAACAAATAATTTCTTTGAAAACTGAGATTTTCTATTTTGTTATTGACTGATAGGCTTTCCCAGTTCAAGGATATTGGTTATAAATATCTATACAAAGTCTTTATATTAGCTGTTGAAACTAAAACACATATATATGGCTATGGGTATGTTTCTATATTTTATGCTTTGAATTGAGAGAAAGTAAAACCAAGAGTTTTAACTAACAAAGAAAAATTAAGGACTGTTTTGGGATTTATTTTTAAGTCTCTCTTAAGTGCATAGCTTCATCTGCATCTGGCCTTCTGGACAGAAGTATCTCACACAGACTTTCACTCTGGGTATTTTTTTTCCAGACCTGAAAGGAGTAACCAAACTCTAAATTATCAGGATGCTTGTTATTCAGTTTAGGTTTATGCACGTGCGTTAATTCTTCTCCTTCAAACAACTGCCCAAATGTTGCTAGTTTTATACATATTAGCTATAAGAGCTGGGCATAAAAACAAGGGAAGGCAAAGGTTAAATTTGTGAATTTGTTATTGATTACCTAAAAATATTTGTTAGTGGAAAAACTAGATTGAAACTATGGAGTAGAAAGGAATTTGGAATAAATTTGAACATTTTTAGGTACCCAGTTTTTCTGCCTCTGACCAACCAAGTTTACTATAAAGAATAAATCAAATATGTAATTTTAAGTTTCTAAGTAAAAATTCAATTACTTTCCAAACTGATAACCAAAACTCATCCAAGCAGACGGTTAATTACAAAATGCTTTGATTTTGTAGTTTGCCACGTATCTGGGTGATTTCCACTGCTCATTACTACCCGTGTCATTGTGTTTATGTCAATTGTATGTTCTACTTACCTTGTGTTCTTCATGAGCTGTGTACACGTTTTGGTATTCATATTTATTACGTTACTGTCTGATATTTTAATATGGACAAATGTTTGCTGTAACTTTTGACATTACTTTTTATAGCCCTCTTGCTTTTATACAGAAATGAAAGTTTAGGCTTTAAAAGAAATAATGCCTTTCTCATATGGCCAGACATATTTCTTCATGATACGCTGGTGTTTCATCTTTTTCCATAATTCTCTATTAGTACTTATTTTAAATGTTTTTCCTATCATTTTGAAAAACTCAAATGTCTGTTCTCCATTTGAAAGTGTGCCAAAAGTACTCCACCATGTAAATATGTAGAAACAATTACTATAAAAGTGTCAGCATAGTTCACAGCAATGTATTACCTTAATGACTACAAAGATATATATATTTTTCAAGTTGTTGGAATTAAGATGTATCTGAAACAGTAGTTCAGTTCCCGTAAAAATAATAGAAATGTCCCATGAACATCACATATCTATCCATCAGAAATTCTTTTTACAATTTCATATACAAGCATTTTAAGACCTTTTTGAAATAAATAATGCAAATGAATTAAAATGAGGTGTTCTCTTGATTTCTGAAATGGTATTTACTGATGGTCTCAATAGTGGCTAATATGCGAGGGTTCTTTTAAATTTTAAAAGGCAGATTAAAAAAAATAAAATCTAGGCACCAAAAACAAGGACACAAACTTTTATTGAGAGCAAGTCAAACACAGTTCTTTATTTAAACTGTTAATAGGTAGATAGATAGAGTCTGATATATTCTGTGTCTTCAAAGGTAGCATTATATGAAGGGTTAAGTTTTATATTGACAGAGAAATAGAGCTGTTATTACTTCCTGTTCACCCAGCATCTAAGGAAAATAAAAAGTCATGTAAGAAATACCAGCATTCTCACAATAAGTCAATTCTCCCTCCTACCAGGTACCAGAGTCCTTCTTCCATTCCTGAACCTTGAAGCACAAAAGCAGTAAACCTTCATGTGTAGCTACCAATCTGTGTTCTTAATGTGTCCCATATGCTTTTCAAATATGTTAAGTATCCCCCCATGAGATCTGAACCAGACCCTTGTCTTTCTTAGGCTACAAGAATCAAACAGCCACCCATCACCATTATGTACTTACAGTCACTAAGCTCTGTGGCCTTAGTGTAAGATGGCGGAATAGGGCGATGGGCACTAATGCCAAATAATAGTTTCAGCGCTCTTCTGCAACTACATTGCCTCATTCATGAGCATTAAGCATTTACTCATTGAACATACCCTGAAATAGTCTTGTTGATAAAATCTTTCATAGTTGGTTAATCATCTGGTAAGAGCACAAAACTAAAAGGGCCAGGGTTACTATATTTTGGAGCCCAATTAGAGCTAGTTGCTTGGCCACATCAAATGACCACAGACCTCCCACCTCACTCAAGTTCCACAGGAATTGGCTGCCTCTGCTGGAATAATTCAAAATACAGGCTCTGTTGATGGTAGGTTAAGAATATGGTCCTGTTCCATGATGGATAACACAATACTGTGCTTTGACGTTAAGTAGAAAATAGTAGGGGTCACCAGTAATCCAAAAAGAAAATAGCTTGTCCAAGTGAAAAGATTTAGAGGCTCTAAGTAAACAGGTAATTGTCCTAGTGCATCAATCTTCTACCGAAATTTGTCAATAAAAAACTGATTTCCCTGTCTTTATTCTGAAAACTTGCATTGTCGAGAATGAAATGTATAGATTCTATAGATTAAGCGTGACAGACTTATATATGGTCAGGTTGTGAAGTATCTGTTTGAAAGAATAAAAGGAAAAAATTCAAAATTGAGTCTCGTAAACACTAATAGTATATGATACCATGGAAACATATTACATGATAATAAAGAATTAAAGAAAGTGCCTTTAGAATGTGTGGGATTTGTTACACATAAACAAGCAAAACTCTGAGAAGGGCTAACCCAGGGTTTTTCACAAAATGAAAAATAAATAAACAAAGGGTTGAATAGTACAATGAAGACTGTATTACATTCAGACAATAACGAATTGTCTTTTTATTTCTAGGGCCAAAAGAAATGTCTTTATCTGTGGTGACAGAAAGCTCAGGATAATATATATAGAAGCATGAAATGAAAAATTATGGAACTATCTAAGAATATAAATATAGACTCTCCCTTTTCATAAATATTCAATACATTATCTGACACATTGGTTTGAGTGAAGCTTCACAAGCACAATTTTAGGCATCTTGATTTGGGCTGAGGTCCAGTAAATTATATATTCCCAACAACCATCAGAGCTTTCTCACTAAAAATACATGCTCACACTCTACTTTGAAAATATTCTAAGATAATTATTTCCATTTTCATAGTAACTAGTACAGTTATGACTAGAGTTGTCTCAGGTTTCTAAGGAAAGAAAATTATTCTGAGATACTCTTAATAGGAGAAAGTGTAGTAATAGAGAGGGGTATTTTCTTAAAATTGTGCTAAAGCTGTCATTTTCATGTTTAATGACATTAACTGTGCTAGACAAGATTTTATTTTCAGTCTCAGAAATAATCTATCTGATATAACTCTTTAGTCAATTGCCCACCAATCTTCCAGCCCCTCCCTGTGGCAATCTCACAATGGATTTAATTCATCTTGAGAACATAAAGCCAACATTTAGTAAACAGAATTTTCCTGACTGACAATTGCTCAGCCCCTCTAGTGAGAAAATTCAGTGAATGGTAACACCTAGGAAGGCAGCCTATACAGAATTTCACTCTGTACGTGCCAAGAAAAACAACTTAAAATCTGAAGATAATAGGAAAGGCAAAGTATTTTGGAAAGTTTATTGCCAGAGTCTGTAAAACCACGTTTTAAAGAAAGAGAGATTTGATACCAGACTTTCTATCACCCTCAGTGTACAGGAAGAAAGACACCAAAAGAAATACATTTCATTTCAAATAGTCCTCTTTCATTTGATGACTACATTTCCCGGCATTGCTACTTTTAAAGTCAAACTGTTTAGTGCTTAGCACACAGGCTATATTAGTGAGGATTTAAAAAGCAAATATCCAAGAATGAATCTAAAGCTTTTTGATCTGAGGTTACCAGACTGAGTTTTGCCTAGGGTTATTTCCACATTATTCTGCGGTGAAACAGAGATTAAGCTTCCACTTCTTTATGGGGGATGACTCAAGGCATACAAAGATGCATCTCAGGAAAAGAGAATTAGCTTTTGCTTTAGTGGGCATGAGAACTTCTCAGTTCCAGTTAGTTTATAAATGCATCATAGACTCGAATTCATCAATTCTTTGCTTGGTGTTCCCCTTTCTGATTTTCCGATAGGATATCGTATTGTATCTTGAATAAGCATTTCTGGAAATATCACCCTTCTTCCCGAAGGTTGGCTGCTCATCAGGTGTGACAGGTTGGGAACTGGGGCTGCTCAGTGGGGAGTCCTCACATGCATCGCCTTCCTCTTTTAACTGAGAACGCTCTTCATTTTTTTTCTTAAGTTCTATCACTTGAACTTCATCTTCATCATCTTTGCAATCATCATCATCATCATTATTAATTTCTTCATCCCAAACCGCTTGCTCCTCATCATGCTTAGAATGCAACACATCAGCTTGGCTTGGTTTCCGAAATCCTAGCCATTCAATTTCCATTGCCTGGTGTTGAGTTTTGTTCTTCAGATCCTCATCTTCTCTCTCTCCTAAAGGTTGTTCAGCAATCCTTTCCTTTCGTCTACTTGGTTCTTGGTAACTGCTGCTCAAGGGAATCTTCTCCCACTGATGTCCTGTAGCAAAATCAATTGGCAATTGATATGTGTAGAGATTTCAAAATACCACAGATTCTCCAGATTATATTTCTGGACAATCGTTTTCCACCAAACATTTTATGGGATATTGTTTTGTGGGTTATTAATATGTTTTACCCAATAAAACAGGCTACACCATCAAATTAGCTTGGAAGACACTGCATTAAGCACAATGAAGTAAGCCTCTTCAGAATTTATCCAAGCCTTTAAAATACTAATGGATATTAGCATCCAGCAACCCAACCTCATTTGACTATGGAACATTTTTGTTGTGGACTACTGTATATAGTGATACTGGTATTCCCTGAGACACACTTTTAAAAATCCTGTCTAGCCTGTCACGAGTGGATATGTGAATATATTAAAAAATATTTGGACCTAGCTCCTACACACACACACACACACACACACACACACACACACACACACACACTCCTCAAGGAAAGTTAGAAAAAAGGCTTTCTTCCAACAGTAAAAATAATGAAATAATGACTGCCAGTGACTGGTCACACTCAGAGTAGCAAATTCAGTGTTTACCACCATGCTTCTCAGAGTTCTCATGTCCTAAAGTACCAGCTATGGAGGAGGAGTACAGATGGCCAAGAGTCATGTGCTGGGCTAATGGACGCATCAAGTCCACGAAAGGACACACTCTATAGCCTAAGATCTGCCACTGATTTCTAGTGAGTCAAGATTTAAAAATCATGTTGAGGTCATATCTACAGAGTGTTAGGTTAGCCTATTATTTTCGACATGTCCTTAACCGATAGCTAATTAACTTAAGTTGTTTGATACCATGCAGTGACTTTTAAGAGGCTCATTTAATTCATTGCAAATTTCACTTTTCAAACACATCCTATCAGCATATCCTCAATAATATTTATTGAGCATGAAAAAAATGAATTAATAATAGGAGAGTAGAGGTTGTTCTCAGAGCTTTCAGCCCTGAAGGACTTCTGTGGGAAGCTTCAGCCTGCAGTGCACATGACTCAGGGTTGTGTTCACTATTCCCTTTCAACACCGTAACAGTCTTTATATAAAGCGAGAGGCACTGTTCCTCTTTGCCCTTCTCCTCCACAATTTCCTATTTTCACTGAAAGATGTTGACAAGTCCATTTCCATCAGAGATTTTTCATTCTCTTTTCGTTTTGTTTTCCCAACTATGGGAATCAGATTGTAAACTTACACAAAGAGATAGAAGTGGAGGTGGTTCATCTCTCCTCATTAGCTGTGCACAGCTCCTATCAGGCCACTGACATCTAGTCAGTGTTTTTTACATCATAACTAAATATGTATTCGAATGTTTGCTATAATTTTAAGCTTTGTTTTGTTTTCTTCTTTTCCATAAGAACCAAAGAAACTGATCTTTTTACTCATATTCGTGACTTGGGCATGGAGTTGTCATGCATGAAATTACTTCTTGACTTTAAATTATAATTCTTTCTAAGTATTTTTAACATCTTCCTATTTTTCAACTCAGGAGTATTCTCTTTGGGGACTTTATAGCTGTTTGCCATTGTGAAAATGAAAAACGCCAAAATATGTTCTTCTAACCCTACAGGAGGAACATGTTCCACCGAACACAAAAGGATTCATGCAGGGATAAACTCACCCTGAGATCATCCACTTTAAAAATCCAGACTGCTTTTATTCTTTATTTGAAGGAAATGAAAGATCATAGAAAACTATTGTCTCCAGTGACTTTCTGATCAGAAATTTGAAAGGGGCTCTAGTTGAAAGGTTGAGATCCCTGCCTCTCAGAATCCGCTTGCTCATTGGCAGTAGAAGGGTTAGGGTGAGAGGTTATTTAGTCCATTTCATGGGGTTTAGGTCTTATAAAGTATCTGTGATAATGTAAGAGCTTGACAGTGACTGTTGCTTACTACATTCTTCTTTGAGTGACTACACAGTGGGCCACCGTATGTAGTCAGCAGACAGTCTGAGAGGTGTCCAGGCAAAGGGGACAAACCCAGGAAACTGCCAACAACCTTATCCTCCTAGGCATCTACTATTTTGTGTGATGTTCTAATATTTCAACCAATAACCTCTTCAATGTTTTACTTGTTAAGGTCCTAACTAAGCTAAATCACTTAGGTCTACCAAGCTGACTTCAATTTTGAGATAAGATGTGTATGGCTGCAAGAGAGGATATGAATGATTAATTGGTAGATTTTTATCTTCCACTTTATTTTGAAATTGTTTGAATGTAGGTGTCTCCTTAGAAGTCTAAAAGATTTTGTGTCTCTTAGACTCTTGAGTTTATTTGAAAAATAATACAGTCATTTAAAAATCAATGTTCTTTTTATTCTCCCATTTTTCTGAAAGAACACAAGTAAAATTAACTTCATCACCTGGAAGATTTCTTTGACAAGAATTAGGTAACCATTTTGTGCTTACAGCAGAGGCCTAGAATTTTCCTATAGATCAAATAAATTTATAAGATTATTTTAAACAGTATGCCAATGGTAAACTTTTAAGATAAACCCATTTTTGAAATGTTTACATCTTGCAAGGCGCCTGACATAGATTTGAAGACACTTAATCAAAAGGAAAGTTTTATTTAGTAGACTAACTTATTAAGACGCAGGTATCATATCATCAGGTCAAAGCGTGCCAATCAGTTTTACCGATCCATGCAGTCTCAGTCTTGAAGAGTGTGTAATGCTTTCTCAGGTGGAACCCACAGATAAATCCAGACTCCCTTATCTGCCTATAGCAGCTTTGAGTTTTTGAAAGCATTACCTGGATTGCTTTTTCAATACCACACTCACGTAACATCCCATGCAAAAACTGTCTTCCACATTCCATCAGACAATTTCTGTGTACAAAATGGAAGTTCCTCTTACCTTCTCTGAATGTCATTTCATCAACACTTGTTTCTTGGAGAGAAAGATCTGTGATAGCCTTATGAGCAATGTAGAGATTCTCTTCTGGTTTTTCTGGGAAGAAAAACCCCCACAAGATTAATATTTTAACATTTAAGTAGTCTAAGATAAATAAATTACCAATTAAGATTTTAAAAATGTAGAGGTCTTTGATTTTTGTGGTCACTAAAAATAACTATTTCATTCTTCAAACTCATTTCTTCACCGATTCCTTTTATGTATAAGCATAACGATAACCTCTCCTTTAATGTCTATATAAGTTTATAGTACCACGAATTCATACACTTTCAGGTAGATTTAGAAAGCAAAGTTGAATTTATGAATTCCTTCTGACTGAATAATAATGGTGCTCTCCATATAATAATAAATAACAGTAGTTAACATTTAACAGACAGTAATTTTCACAACAACTGTACAAATATCAGAACTATTATTCTGCCTTCTTCTAATGAGAAAACCAAGGCTTCGGGAAGCCAAGAAAGCTGTCTAGGGTCACAGGGCTATCAAATAAATGAACCTGGATTTGACCCAGGGCAGAGGTTTAGTCCTTATGCTCTGCAGCCCCCATAGGATAAGGGACTGCATTTGGGCAGGGGCAAGGGTGGGAGGATGTGCAGCTTATTCCTGTCATAACAGTTCACCCAAAGATTCCTGAGTGAGTTTGCAAATCAAATCAAGCAAATTATAGAAAAGCAAAATGCTTTACCTTTTAGAATCTTCTCCTCCATGGACGAGTGGAGCAGTATGTTCTCTTGTAATTTTTCACTTTTCTCCTGACTTCCTTTCGTGGGTTCATCTCCAAGACTAGATTCTACCCTGCAGTATGGTGGGGTGCCACCCATATCACTGGCTTTTTCCGTGATTTTAGTGATTTTTTGTTGACCGTTTTCAGGGGGTGTATCCCCATTACACTCAACCTGACTGAATGTCACTGGAACGTCTGTCATGATGTACAGTTGAGTCCGACTTGGAGAGAGCTTTGGGGAAGATCCTTGAGAAGTTCTCTTGCCTTCAAATCCAGCTCTTACTCTAAGGACACAAATGATTTCCTTTAGTGCATAATAACAAGCTTCTTTTCCTGAAGGTGTGCAGATAGAGCATAGCACAAAAGTAATAGAATTTGTCAGATTTGCCACCAACCCATGAGCGAGAATCTGGCCAATCACCACCTTCTTTGTTGCTCAGCAGTCCCACTTGCAGAATTAATGGCAGCCTTTTGATTTACATAAACAAACAATCGGAGGCAATCAGCCTTTTGTGTTGGCATGTACAGGGGGACTTTCAGCTTGTCAGTCCCCCTCTGGGAACAGAGATTTTTGTCCCTTTTCATAATGGCCCTTTGTCATTTTCCTTGTAACAGGAGCCACAATTGTTCCACAGCTTTAATCCAGAGAGAATGACCACCTTGAGGCATATTAGTTCTGTGTAACCAGCTTAACATTTCCAAACAGATTTTGTTCAAGTACAACCTCAGCTATTTTGTAAAGGACAATGGCCTCTTTTCTTATTTATTAAAGAATAAAAACAGCTTATCAAAAACCTGTAAACAGGACAACTTTACTGTAAGTGGCTCTGGCAGCGGATTCCACGGTATGCTTTCGGGAGCCCAGAGAAGTAGATCTAAGAAAATACAAGCATAAATTCTGCCGTCTTGCTAATACCAAACATTTTACATTTCAGTGACTTATTTGGTCTATAGCTTCTTATCCTCTAGTTTATTCATGTCTATTGTAGCTCAACCCATCCTGTAAAACCCTAGTATAATTGCCTCCATGAAATCTTCCCTTCCCTCAATCAGAATTATTTTCAATATTCCCTACTGTTGTTTCATGGTGCTGGTAAAATTATAAGGCACCCACACTGTCTGCCTTTGGGGGAAACAGGTGATTATATAAAACATCTGCCACCTACCATTCCTTCCTTCTTAAAGTAAGACATTAATTCTTTTCTTTGTTGAACCTCATCTAGTGCAAAATGATTCCAGAGCCTTTGCCCATGTTGCTCCCTCAGCTTGGAACGCCCTTCTCTTCCTCAAGGCCAAACCCCTGGCCTAACCAGCTCCTCTGAAATACCATTTCTTTAAAGACACTTCCCCTGACCCACAGGATTACGATGGGACTCCTGTTAACACATTATCTTTCTCCTTCAGAGTTCTCTTCACAGTTGTGATTAAATAAGTAATTGCACAGTTATCTGCATAATGTCTCTCACCAACTAGAATCTAAGCCTTATCGGGGCAGAGAGCATGGTTAACTTACTTACATGTGTCCCCAGCATGTAGCATCTGCCTTGAAATAAGTAGGTACTGAATAGAGAAAAGAAATTATTGTTGAATAAATGTTACTCCCTAGAGAATACATCTAAGATCTTTTCTAAAGGGAAGAAGAATAGAGGTTTGAGAGTAATTGCACATTTATCATCTTTAAACCTGTGTCTAGGGCTGAATGCATTAGGGTCTATATCAGGGACGACAAATACAAGGCACTCTGGTCTCATCCCCTCTATGATCTTAGAATTCATCTCTATGATCTTAGAATTCTCTCCCTTGTCATCACTAACTCTTCTCTACCCAACACACTGATTATTTGTTTGTTTGTTTCTGCACAGGAGGAAAATTAACTTTCCCTCTACCTTCTTCTGAGTTCTTTTCTGAGATCCCTGTAATAAAAGATAGATTAACAAGAGAAAAGGGAACAGACGTTTATTAATATGTTGTTAAAAGGTAAATTGAGGTATATTAAAAATTTTAAGAGTTGTTTTTGAGCAAAAATCGATTCTAACTGGGTAATGTTAAACCGGAAGTGGCTAGGAGCACTATATGGGACAGGAAATGGGGAGACTTTTATAGAGAAAAGGCAGAAGCAAAGTAAGGAAATTATTGATTGACTACAGCTTAAAACCTAGTTGGCTGTTTGTGACTGGTTGTCCTTAGCATTTTGATCTCGGAAGCGTAAGGAATATATAGGCTTTTATTTTGGTTTGCTTATGTAGGCCACCAGGCACTAGAGCCACATTAGTCCAATGGCCTCCTTGTCTAATTAATTTAACAAATATGCCTCATGTATACATGGGAGAGACCCAGGGAAACCTAGTAACTCCCTAAGATGGCCTAAGCCACTCCCGTAAATATCATCTCCAGCTAAAGACAAAAGAGAAAGGTGAGTGCTGGGGGTGGAACAGAGGAGGCCAGTTAGAGGTTTCCAGGGAAAGCACAGTAAACAAGGGTATGGTATGTTATGCAGATTTAAGTGGCTGCCTTCTCCATTGACAAGATTCTGTTACGTTTTAGAGTTATCCTTCTCTTCCTGGTACAGAGAGGGAGACACCCTTACAAAGGGAGATCTCCTTTATAAGTACCAATTTCCCTTACAAAAGATAACTTTCTATTTTCTGAGCTTCTCCAGTGTCTGCAGTTTCTCAAAAATAATTAGCTCAAAATAATCCTTATGCCAAAGAGACATATTTTGGAGTGGCATATCCTAATGCTCTTCTTTTGTTTGTTTTTATTTCTTTTTTAACAAACTTTCATATAGGATTTATTATATGTTAGGCACTGTTCAAATGCTTCACAAATAGTAACACATTTGATCTTCAAAACAGCAGTGTAAGGAAGGTGCTATTATTAGCCTCATTTTTCAGAATAGAAAAATTAAACACAGAGAGATTAAGAAACTTGCTGAAGGTCACACAGCTGGTAAACCTACTGTTGAGAGTTTGCAGCTTAGATGAAGCCAAGAGCCATCTGTTCGGGGTGCTAGTGTTTCCTTGGGCCAGAGAACCCACTGGGCTCCAGCCTGATGAATTAACCGCCTCGGCAGCAGAAGTAGCTCTAGCCAGGAAAGGGCAACAGAAGGCCTGAGGTGTCATCAAGGCCTTCCCAAGACAGACACCCCAGCTGCTGAGGACAGGGTTGGGAGGGTCAGGGAGTTTCCTTCCCGTCAGAAATAACAGAGCTATTCTCTTAATTCAAAAATCAGAACCTGGAGCTTCAGGACCAGGTCGATCCACCCCCACTAACTTACAGGTAGAACAGCCCAGGATCTAGGGCAAGAAGAAAATATAGGGGGAATCAGATGGGAGGATGCAGAGATTAACACCAAAGCTAGGAAAGTATGGGGACATACTAGATTGTGAGATCCAGAAGGGCAGGAAATAGTACTAATTCAACCAAATGCCCAGCAATAAACATAAAAATGTAGAAGTTCTCGCGTTATCTTTGAAATCCTGTCTCCAACATCTGTCAGTTCCCTCGAGACTGCCAAGTACTTCAGGGACACAGCAAAGTTTTTTTTCTCTCTCTTACTCTTAGATTGCTATGACCATATAGCAACTTGCAACTTGTACCTATGGCTTAGTTTTTATGGGGATTAAAATTTGGGGGTGGGGGGAGGATTATCTTTTTTCTAATGCCTTGCTTTGACATTTTTGGGGGGCATTAGAATTATTTCAGATTTAGAAATATAGAAAAATGATCCAGACTTCTATCAGCCTTGGCTAACCAGTGTGTTCACTTCTATAAAAAGCCAGGTAAAATGTTTTGTAACGTGTATAAGTTTTGCTACAATTAGACGGCAACACAAAAACCATTTAGCTCCAAAATGAGTCTAACAACCAAATAAAACACAGGGTATTTTATCTATTAAAAGGTATGTTGTCACCCATTGACTGTAACAACCTACGATTTGTAAAGTGTGTTTGAATTTGCATTAAGCATCCTCAATTCAAAATACCATTGCATAAGGGCTTCCCTGGTGGCGCAGTGGTTGAGAGTCCGCCTGCCGATGCAGGGGACACGGGTTCGTGCCCCGGTCCGGGAAGATCCCACATGCCGCAGAGCAGCTGCGCCCGTGAGTCATGGCCACTGAGGCTGCGGGTCCAGAGCCTGCACTCCGCAACAGGAGAGGCCACAACAGTGAGAGGCCCACGTACCACAGAAAAAAACAAACAAACAAACAAACAAAAACCATTGCATAATCTTCACTGCATGAAATATGACTTTTTTTTTAAAGAGAATTTACTGGAGCATTTATGTTTTTTCCCTAGTTATTATTCTAAATGGTAAAGGATATCATATAAATATAACCATTCTGAAATCTATAACAAAATATGATAATGAAAGAATCTTCACATGGGAACTTAAAAAGTATCAAAATTACATTATGCAAATACCCACATTTCACTTGTCAAATGCCAAATGATGAATCTTAAGGCTATATTAGGTCCAGCTAAGGAGCCAGGATAACCTGATTTGGTTCACTTAAGGGACTAACATTCCAAATTGACAGGACAGCCCAGCTAAAGTGAACTGTTACAGAAATACAAAATATTATAACATCATAAAATCAATCAGTAATCATATATCTCACTTCGAAAAACAATAATTGCCTACCACCTTGCATAAATTAGATTAAGTTGAATGTCTTATGCCATCTTCGTACCTTGTGTTTATATTTAAGCCTAGCTTGAAGCAATAGCTGTCATTTGGGCAAAATAAGGTCTTGAAGCAAAGGATGGTGTCTTCCAGGCAGCCAGTAGTGAAGTCTGTGGGTAAAACCTGAGGTTTAAGAATTTAATGTAACAAAATTTAAAACTTCAACTGTTTTTTACTAAAAGCATGCTTTCCAGTCTTGGAGCTGGGATCGGTTGGAAGGGGATTGTTAGTTATCTCTCTAAAGACAAAGTCTTTCTTATACCCCAGGAAAGATGCATGTCTTTGCAGCCCTAGAATCTGGGGCCTAGCTTCTCAGTGAGTCACTGTTTACCATATTTTTAAAAGTACTGGAAGAAACAGGCTAGGAATTTGGTGAGGATTAGAAGGGAGTGTAGCCCTGAACAAGAAGCCACAATGTAAATCCCTGTGGCCAAGGCAGGCAGGTGGGAGTGAGAGCACGAACCAAGAATTAAGAGCCCCCCGCCTCAAATAAAGGGCAAATGAGCATTATCATCAGCGACCCCTATAATGATCAAGAGATTGGACTCGGTCATCAGATGACCTGGCATGAAATCTTGCTCTGCTGTTTGTTTGTTTTTTTTTTTTTGCGGTACGCGGGCCTCTCACTGTTGTGGCCTCTCCCGTTGCGGAGCACAGGCTCCGGACGCGCAGGCTCAGCGGCCATGGCTCACGGGCCCAGCCGCTCCGCGGCATGTGGGATCTTCCCGGACCGGGGCACGAACCCGTGTCCCCTGCATCGGCAGGCGGACTCTCAACCACTGCGCTACCAGGGAAGCCCTTGCTCTGCTGTTTTGTGACCCTGAGCCAGTGTACAAATCAGGCATGTTTGGGTTGCAGATTACAGAAACTCAATTCAAAAAATCTTAAACTCTGGATTTAACAGATCATTTCACTAGAAAGTCCAGAATTGGCTTTGCACTTGTTTGGATCCGAGGATTTAAACAGTGTCACAGGGAACCTTTCTCTCTCCATTCCAAGGAAGGTGACGATTAGGAGGTATTTGGGTGAAACTTTTTTCTAGGTCCCATAAGATTTCCAGCTGAGTGTGATAGGCCGGAAGATGACCACCCCGCAAAGGTGTCCAAGCCCCTAATTCCCATACCCTGTGAATCATTACCTTACAGGGTAAATGGGACTTTGCAGACATGATTAAATTAAGGATTTTGAGATAAGGAGATTATCCTGGATTATCAGATTGAATCCAATGTAATAATCACAAGGGCCCTGAAAAAAACGAGGTAAGAAGGTGAAATGCGATGTCACAGGAGATGTCACAGGAAAGCAAGAGGTTGGAGTCATACAAGGAAGGGATCGTGAGGTAAGAAACATGAATAATCTCTAAAAGCTGAAAAGGGCAAGGAAATGGAATACAAAGCCTCTGAATGGAGTACAGCCCTGCCAGCACCTTGATTTTAGACTTCCAACATCCAGAACGGAAAGAGAATAAATTTGTGCTGCTTTAAGCTATTAAATGTGTGACTATTTGTTACAGCAGTAATAAGAAACTAATACACTGAGTTTCTTGTTTCTCTGCTTTCATTTTCATTGACCGCCTAGGGGCAGAAAATTCAGTTTTCCAACTATTTGTGGGATATATATTTTTGAATCTTAATCATCTTGGATTACTTCCTACTGGCCAAGAAGATCTCTCATACTCTCATAATAAGGTTGTATTTTCTTCTCACTCATCTGTCCATCAGTACAGGTTTGACTGAATCTGTAGCAGTTTGCTAAAAACTATAAGAAAATTATAAACTCTCAAGCATCCTGATATTTTTCTATCAAGTCTTCTAAAATTCAATCTTTAGTAGGAAATGGTCCTAATCAAGATTTGAGGGGACAGTTTAGAGCAATGATGGTCAGTTTCACAATCAGGAATGAGAGAATTCTCA